GCTTCTCCCTCTCCCACTCCCCCTGCTTGTGTTCCTGCTCTCGCTATCTCTCTCTCTGTCAAATAAATAAATAAATAAATAAAAATCTTTAACAAAAAAACCACTGGGTGGATGATCCCTCAGGGAGGTCTCCATGTGCCCGTGACATCTGTGTCGTCCAAGGGTGGGCAATATTTTGAAGTTCTGGTTTCATTCCAGTTTGCTAGTTTCAAAGAGATACTTAAATATTCAGAGCAAGTTCTTGTTTGAATGGGATTTTTTTAAAACTTTGGTTCAGGTAGAAGATACCCTTTGGCCAGGTCCAAGGTTCTATCACTTTGTGATTGCTCTGGCTTGGGACTTGGCTTGGTTCTGGTCCATGAAGGAGGAGCCTGCGTGGCCCCTCCTTTACTCGGAGACACCATGACACTTCCCTCAGAGGGCCATCAGGAAGATCGCACAAGAGGAGTGTTTAATCTGGCACGGCCCCGGCAGGCAATAGGATCCAGATAATGGCGGTTACCCCTCCTTCCTCCCCTAAATGACCAGCCACGCTTTTGATGGAGCAAACAAAAGATTCAAGCAAGAAGACAAGGATGGGAACCCATGTGCAGCGAAGCCAAAGGGGCTTTCTGTTTCCAGTTCTCACTTTAGCTTTCAGACTGCGGGCTGTCAGGTGTGCGGTTCCGGCCATTGCCTGATTTATTTCAGTCTCTGTGAGGTTGGCTCGTGTACATTGCCTGGCATCTCAGAGCTTTCTGTTCTGAACCTTTCTTGTTTGCTTCTTGTTTCCCAGATGTTTGAGCCAGAGGCAGATGAGAAGCGAGAGATGCCCTTGGAGGAAGGGAAGGGGCTGGGTGCTGAGGACCCCCCACCCAGCAAGGACCCCTCTCCAGGCCAGGAGCCTCCTTCAGGACAAGACTTGTCACCCAACAAGGACCCCTCTCCTGACCAGGAAGCTTCTCCTGGCCAAGAGTCACCGTCCAGCAAAGACTCACCTTCCTGCAAGGAACCTCCTCCAGGCCCAGAGCCCCAGCCAAACAAGGACTCCCCACCATGCCAGGAACCCCCTGCAGCCCCGGCCCTCCCTCCCTGCCAGGAACTTCCTCCTAGGCAAGAGCCCCCTCCCAGCCAAGACCTCCCTGTCATCCAGGACACCCCTGCTCAGGAGCTTGCGCCCTGTCAAGACCTGCCCCCCGGCCAGGTCCCCCAGCCAGCTAAGGAGACTGCAAGCTCTGGGGACCCCTCAGCAGCCACCAGGGACCCGCCTCTGGCCTCCAGGCCAACCTTTGTGATCCCTGAGGTCCGGCTGGACAGTGCTTACAGCCAGAAGGCCGGGGCAGAGGGGGGCAGCCTGGCCGATGAGGAGGACGAGGAAGAGGCTGAGGAGGGCGAGGAGGGAGAGGAAGAAGAGGAGGAGGACACGAGTGATGACAACTATGGAGAGCGCCGTGAGGCCAAGCGCAGCAGCATGATCGAGGCGGGCCAGGCTGAGGGCGGCCTCTCCCTGCGGGTGCAGAACTCCCTGCGGCGGCGGACACACAGCGAGGGAAGCCTGCTGCAGGAAGCCCGCGGGCCCTGCTTTGCCTCCGACACCACCTTGCACTGCTCGGACGGGGAGGGCACCACGTCCGCCTGGGCCATGCCTTCGCCCCGCACCCTCAAGAAGGAACTGGGCCGCAACGGTGGCTCCATGCACCACCTTTCCCTCTTTTTCACGGGACACAGGAAGGTAAGAAGGCCGAGGGTGGGTGGGAGTGGGTAATAAATGGGGTGGTACGGAGCGGGGAGGTGGGTCCAGGAGCTGCAGGGGACGAGCAACGCAGTCCCACCCCAGCGCCTCTCTAAGCCTTCCAGGGAGCCTTCTACCCATTTGACAGAGGATACAGCTGAGGCACGGAGGGACCGAGAAGGCCACGCCTGCACTTAAGCCCGTGACTCTGACTCCAGATGCTGTGTTCTTACAGCTCCTTTGGACTGGGGGTCCCCACCGAAGTAGAACAGGTGTGGCCTCCCCCAGGACATCGTGCGTTTGGATCCAGAAGGTCTGAGACATTCGCTGGAGGACTGTCTCCTGTAGTAGAACAATTTAGGCTCGGTCCAGGCCTAGCCAGACTAGAAATCCATCAGCCAGCAACGATAGCACACATCTACCCTGTGTTGGCATTATGCTATGCAATTTATTTTTTGTTGTTTTTTTATTTTTTGAGAGAGAGTGAGTGCACGACTGGGGGGCAGGGGCAGAGGGAGAGGGAAAGAGAGAATCTTAAGCAGGCTCCACGCCCAGCACAGAGCCCCAAGCAGGGCTCGATCTCATGAGATCATGACCTGAGCCAAAACCAAGAGTTTGATGCTTAACCGACTGAGCCCTCAGGCGCCCCGATTCTAAGCAATTTAGCTGACTTCACCAATGCTCATGACAGCCTCATGAAGGAGATACTGTTGAAGCTCCCTCCAGATGAGGAGACCGAGGCACTCAGGGGTTATCTCACTTACCCCAGGCCACACAGTTTATAAATGTCTGCCCCAGAAGTAGATTCTGGCTCCAGGGCTGGAGTGCATCCCTACCATGCCGCAAATATTTATAAATAGATGAATAAGTGTTTATTGATTTCCTGCCGTGTGCCAGGCCCTGTGCCCTGTGCCAGTGTGGGGCCGCAGGAATGTGTGAGGCTGCTCTCAGCCTGTGAGCAATGAGCTATCTGTGTGGGTGCAGAAGCTGGCCCCGCAGTGAAAAGATTGCATCACGTCCTCGAAGCCCACTAGCCAGCTTGAGCCTGGGCTTGGTCTCTCACTTACTGTGTGGCCTTGGGTGAGCCACTCAGCTCCTCTGAGCCTTAGTGTCCTTCTGTGAAAAGCAGAGACGAATTACACTCATGTCGCAGGGTGGTTGAGGATGAACCAGAAGAGCCTGTTGCCTGGTGACCTTTAGTGCAGGAACCGGTAGATGCTTTTGAGATGCTAGCAGCCAGCGCGGTGCGAGGTGTTGTTATGACAACGTTGTGAGGCCAGGTGCGTGGGGGGGCGGGGGCAGGGACCTGGGAGTTCATGGAGGAAAGACCTCAGGGCCTTAGGCCATCAGGGAAAAGCTTCTGGAGCAAGATGCCCTTTGGCTTGGCCTTGAGGATTGAGCAGGTTTAGAATGAAGAGAGGATGAGACAGGCATTCTGGGCACAGTGTCTGTAGAAGCCAGTTTGGCTAGAGCAGGGGATTCCTAAAATGCAGGGATGGCAGACGCATGGTACTCACACTGCCCTTCCTGCCTCCACACCCAGGGCAGACATGACTAATGGATTCCAGCTCATTTCCCCACTGAGTTGGGCCATGGCTTTGGAAGCCTTCTTCGCCTCAGGCACTAGTGAGAAGGCTGACTTCACACTTGGGAGGACACTGCTACAACGTGGTTGGACTGGAAGGGCAGGCTGGGACCCCCCCGCCCCGAAAAGGCCTTAAACTTTGGGCCCCGGAAATTGGAACCAAATCCCAAAGGAACTGGGACTGGACTCAGTTTCCTCATCCACAGACACCTGTGGTTCTAACTTTGATGTGCTCCGTAATGACCAGAAGGAGGTTATTCATACATAGATTTCTAAGTCTCCAGCCCCAGGCTCCTGGAATCAGAATTTCCAGCATATGGTGCCCAGACTCTGCATTTTAGACAAGCCCCCCAGGGGCTGTGCTGTTCCTCATAGTTGGAATATCACCATCTTTGGCCATTTCTTGATGCAGCTAGAGAGAGTCTAGAACTCTGCCCTACCCGGGTGAGGCCTCAGGCTCACTCAGACCAGGCCTGGCCACTCCTCTCCGGTGGGCACCGAGATCCCCGGGCTCACTACCCTGTTTCCACACCCCCTCCCCAAGACCCTCCCAAGTTCTGTTCTGTATGTAAATACAAATATCTATATACAGATACAGCCACCCACCTACACGCACATCCTTCTAGTCCCCCCCCAGCCAGCTGATCCGAGCTCCTATTTTGGGGCAGATACTCCTGCGCAGGAGTCCGGCAGGCCTGGACCAGCTCTTGTCATGCTTCAGCTTCCTCCTTTGGGAGCCCAGGGTTTTCACGGGTATCCCCCACCCTCTCCTGGCCTCTTGTTTCCTTTCTTGGGCTTGAGCGACAGAGTTGGCAGGGGCCTCAGAGGCTGTGCTCCCACAGTTTCCACGGACCCGGCTGCTAGTCCATCATCATGTGTATCCTGCTCACTGCAGCCAGCCAGCTTCGCTAAGGACCCTGCCCTGGAGGTTGAGGCTGGGCAAGCCCCTGGTCCCGCGCCATCCCTCACTGCCAGTGGGCCTGGGGCAAGTCCCTGCCCTTTCTCTGAGCCTCAGTTTCTTCATCAGCGAAATGGGTATGGTAATAATACCTCCTTTGTAGGACTACGGGGAAGATAAAGTAGCCCAGCGTGGGTGGAGTGTTTCGGGCAGTTGCCGGTACTCAGCACTCGGTGGGTGCTCCATAAATGGGAATCATGTTGATGACGACGAGGAGGAGGAGAGCAGTGGCAAACGTGGTGGCCGTTATGCCAACATTCACAAAGTGCCCCCAGCTCCCTTTCCTGGCCTGCACGACACTGCCGCAGGGTGGGACTCCTTGTCCTCGTCCTCCAGCAGGGAGCCTGAGGCTGAGCGAGAAGTGTTTTGTCCCAGGCCACACAGCGAGCGCTGCTAGAGCCGGGCCGTGGCCTCACCCTGCGCAGTCCTCCCTGGCTCGACCCCAGACCCTGCTCACCTCACCTCAGGCTGGTGAGGGACAGGGTGTGGGGGGCTGGCAGCGGGCAGGGGCGGCGGTGGGTTCCCCTGTGACTTCCATCTTCCTGGTTTGGGCCTGGCATGGGCCTGGCTTTCTTGGGAGGGTCAGCTGCTGCCTCCAGGCCACTGTTTCCAGGCTATGCCAGGCAGGAGGTGAAGAGGAGAGTTCAAATCTCAGCTCTGCCTCCTCCTTCCTGGTCCCGAGACCCTGGCCAAGTTAGGTCTTTCTTTGAGCTTTCGTTTTCTCTTATAAAGTGGGAGTGCTAAGTCTTCCTTGGAGGTGTCCCAGGGATTCGAGAAGATTGCACTATGTGGAAAGCTCTGCGCCCATGGCAGGGATCCTGTCATGATGTGAAACCCAGGAGGGCCAGACAGAGCTGGTGTGGCCCCGGGGCTGTGTGGCTAAGCTGAGGCTGCCCGGAGGGCATGCTGCCTGTCACAGGGGTGACCCTTACTTGTCACCCTTTGCCCTCTTGTGCGCTGAGTGATTTCTTTCTACTGGGAGTAGGAGTATCTGAACCAGACAGATCTGAGAGACGGCCCACTCGTCATGGTCATTTTACAGATGGGCTGCTGGAGGTCCAGAGAGGAGAAGACCTCCCCACCAAGGTTAACCCCTGGGCCATCCCCTGCGCCTGGCTCCCGGTGCCGAGTTGAGTGGTCTCACAGTGCCCTCTGCTGCCAGACCCCTGCCTTGCTGGCTGCCCCCTGGTGGCCCCGCGGGCAGAACCACGGGCCTGCATCTGCCCTTTTCCTGGGAGCCTGGGAAGCCCTGAGCGAATCTGTGTCTGGGCCCAGGGTTGCTGCCCTTCACTTCCGCCTCAGCCTGGCCTGGCATGGCCCAGGGTCCTGGTCGTTCTTTGACAGTGAGGAGACAGAGGCTGCGGCCCCTCCCAGGCCATCCTTCCTTCTCCCCCGCCCCCTGCTGGGACTGGCTTGGGCAGAGGCTGTCTGCCACACCAAGCTTCCCGCCTAGGCAGGAGGTCAGACCAGAGGGCCTCTTAAGATGCCTTCCAGCTCCAAGATGTGACAGTACTCTCGAGCCTCCTGTTTACAAGGCGCTTCAAGAAAAATTATTTCCTGTGTCCAAACAAATACGTGTAGCATTCAGATCCAGTGTTTCCACAAGGTTGTATGGGGCCCGCCAGGCTGGGCCAGGTCAGAGGGGGACAGGGTGTGGGGCGCTGGTGCCAGCATGGCCGGGTAGCCCCAGAAGTTGGGTCCAGACCAGCGAGAGGAACCAGGTGAAGCCCCTGCCCACAAGAGCCCTCAGTCGTGGGTGGGCTCTGGAGCCAGGCCTGAAATTCGCTGCCACTTGGCAGCTTGTGCCTCAGTTTCCTCCGCCGTGGACTGGGGCAGGTGACAACAAATCGTTCTCAGAACGGTCGTGAAGATGGAACGAGGTAAAAACATGAAAGCCCTTCACTGCAGACCTGGCACGTAGTGAGTGCTCAGCGAACACTCGCGATAACCCCCACGGCCGGCAGCAGTGGGGCGCTGGGCATACAGGTACCAAGCTAGGCTCTTCCTGTGTGTTCGCTTAGTTAATCCGCACCACGCCCCGATGAGGCAGGTCCGGTTATTATCCCCACTTTACAGCTACAGAGACCGAGGCACCGGGAGAGGTTGTAACTCGGCTAAAGTCAATTAGCTCCTAAGTCACTGAGGTAGGATCCCAATCCAGGCAATTTAGAATCGACACCCTTAACCACAACTATTATTATAGTGATAATTACAGTAAGAATTATAGTTATTATTCCAAGGGGTGGGGAGCTCCCAGTGCCTGGAGTGGCCGGGCGGGCCCCAGGGATTCCTGCCTGGTGGCTCTGGGCCCCCCCCCGTTTCCCTTCCAGCAGGGAGGGCCCTGGAGAGGAGCAAGGCAGTGGGGAGCAGATGGGAAGGAGAGGCCTTTTGTGTGCTGGGTACCGGGCAGGACCTCCTGAAGAGGGGAGCCTTGGGGGCCACTGTGGGGCTGGGAAT